CATAATAGCCAACTAGTGCACATGCTTTATCTTTAACTATTAACGTTCATTTAAGACACAAATAACTGTGTTGACGAGGAGACAGGCATTTTGACACATAACTATGTGTATTTGAACGTTTAAACACAAGGCGCGAAAAATAACTCTTAGTCAGGCGCTGTACGAGTAAGTGCGCTCCGCGCGTATCAGAAACCGTCTTAACGCGCGCATTTGCCAAAATGAATTCTGCCACTGCTTAATGTCCCTGAACAGTTAAATTAGTTTTTAAACCACAATGCTTAAAATGCGTTTAAATGAAATGTTAAAAGCTTACATGACGCGCAAAATGAATTTCTCAACCCATAAACGAATATAGGCCTATAGAGTTATTTCAAACACAAAAAGCACTATACATCTATCAAGTTAATCAAACTAACCTAAAATCTGTGGGTATGATGACGCTGTTTTTATCTGCTCCATGTGTCCGGTCCATTTGCGGTTCCGCAACTCCCACTTCATCATCAGCTTTAGTAAAATAAACTAGCTCTGGATTTTAGTGACTAACTCATGTTTTCCCCTCCTAATTTTTTTCTCGATTTTTACTTATCGAAGTTTGTTCTCTGCATGACCATTTCTAGATTACACCAGAATGAAGTGAAGAGAGGTGAATGCAGACATTAGGCGCAGCGTTCACCTGATAGATAGGCTACATGCACAGTTCGTTCAAAAGTAAAATATATAATAAATGCATTTGATTGGTAAACAAAATTCAAATGTGACGTTTTAATCTCTAATGGTAATGCATGGAATTTATGGAAAAACTCCTAAATAACTAAACTATAGTTATTACTATAGTTATAAGCCGCTAACTATAATTAACTAAATAATAGCGCTAAAAAGTGAGGGGCGTGGTGGGGCTTTGGCGATCGGTGCTACCGATGTCCGTCAATCTACTCCGCAGCCAATCACGGGCCCCCTCCTTGCTCGGGCCCTGGGGCTTCAGCCCCGCTTAGCCCAATGGTTAATGCGGCCCTGCCCGTGTCCTCCAAGATGTTCATGTCTTTCTGTCTTCTAGGGCTGTCAAAATGGCTGAAAAACTACATTCGAATTTTGTACTTAAATATTATCAAAATTCGAATTATATTCACAGCCTGACGCACACCTAAAATTCGAATGCAACGTTTTTGCATTTGAATGTGGATTTTATTTTAAATTCGACGAATATTCGAAATTCAAATTTTTTTTTGACAGCCCTACTGTCTTCAATCGCAAAGAAATGAAGGTTTGAGGAAAACATTCCAGGATTGTTCTCCATATAATGGACTTCAATGGGGATCAGCGGGTTGAAGATCCAAAGTGCAGCTTCGAAGAGCTCTACACGATCCCAGCCGAGGAATAAGAGTCTTATCTAACGAAACCACCAGTCATTTTCTTAAAAAAAAATAAATAAATAAAAAAAATAAATGTAATTTAAACCACAAATGCTCGTCTTGCACTAGCTGGACTTCACGCATTATGAAAGGCACTGAAACTGCAATTTGGACCTTCAGCCCGCTGATCCCCATTGAAGTCCATTATATGGAGAACAATCCTGGAATGTTTTCCTCAAACCTTAATTTCTTTGCGACTGAAGACAGAAAGACATGAACATCTTGGAGGACACGGGGGAGAGTGAATGATCAGGAATTTTTATTCTGGAAGTGAACTACTCCTTTAAGTTACTTGAGAATCAAAACTGCATAAAATTAAACATCCTGTTTTCAGACACTCTATCGTAAGTGATTTTGTTTTATAAGAAGTTGTTAATTGGAAAACCTAAGGAAGATGTGATTTCTGCTCTGAAACAAAGACTGAAAGTCTACTTTTCCTCAAAAACCTTCATTTCTTTGCATTATTTTTGTCATCTTTATTATTATTTTTAAACTTTTTTTTTTTTTTTTAATTACGTTCTAGCTTTTAGTTTGTTTATTTTGTTTTTTAGTTGCTTTAGTGCTTCAACTTAAACTAAATGAAAATGAGAAATGCTGCCCTGGCAACTAGCTGAAATAAAACGTTTTTTTTATATATATATTTTAATTTTATTCCAGTTAGTTTATTTTACTTCAAGTAATTATTTTTTTTTTATGATTCTAGTTTACAATAATAACTCAGCTGATTCACGACTCTAAACGAAATCTAAATCAAGTCCCACATGTTTTTCCTCACTGCATATCAAGTTTTACTCTGAAATAAGTCAAATTATAGAATTAAATGGGTTGTCAACGCCATGTTATGTTGACTTTTATACTGAAATCATTCTAACAGCAATCAAGTGTCAAGGAGCTCTACTTCAACTGAAGCCAAACTTTAGCTAATAATTAAAGACATTCAGGAAGGAGTTTTTTTCCCCACAGCATGGATAAATCAGTAGCCAAGATGTTAATTCACCATAAAATAAATGTTAACACAATAAATAAATAAACTTTTAATTATTTTATTTCAACTATTTCAGTCAAGGCAACATCTCATTTACTTTAAGTCGAAATTCTAAAATAACTAAAACTGAAGTAAAACTTACACGTATTTTAACAAAAACTAATAAAAATGACAAAAACAAACAACAAAATTACTAAAACCTTAAAAAAAATGGAAAATGTTAAATAAAAACTAATTCATAATATTAATAAAAAATATAATACTATTCATCTGCTGCTAAACTTTTTGTGTGGTGTCCAGTTCTCTCATTATTTTGCCAGTTTCATTGTGCAACATCTGAAATGTTTGCAGTCTGATGGATATGATTGTCAAGAAAGAGATGGAGGTACAGTAACTACTTCAACATTTGTCTCAATGGAAATGAAAAGCCTGTTGAGTGCATTGCTTTGTGGGACAGACGACAGGCCACTCAATCACTCAAAAACAGGTTAACGTTGCATGTTTTTCATCAGTTAGATGGTAAACAAAGTAAAACCTCAAAGAGGCGATGAGCACCTTTTATACACGATTTTCAGGTCCCTCCACTCCAGGAAGCTGCACATCTTGGGCTTACGGGCCAGAACGGTCTGAACCAGCTCCCGCGTGATCTTCTTCTTCTCCTTATCGGACAGAGGAACGTACCATTTCTGCAGACGGAGCTTCCCCTGTCTGCTGAACAACAGCATGAACTGCATCTGAGGACAACGGGAAGAGAGATGGAGGTGAGATGAGCCAAGAACAGGGAAGCATTCTCTCCATGCATAATGACCTATGATCAATAAAAGCCTGGTAAATGTGATTTATATAATCAAAGACACTCAGGATCGAATGTGTTCAGTGCCACAGAATCATGCAAATTAATATCGCATCAAATCATGTCAATTTTTCACATTTTACTATTTTCACTTATATAATATTCATATAATGGCATACATGGAATGAAAACCATTAAAAAAAATGTTAACAGATAATAAAGATAATAATAAATGTTAAAAAATAATGAAATAAATGTTAACAGAAATAAATATTACATATACATCAATGCATCTGGCATATCTATTCTGAATTTTAAAAAAAAAAGGCACAATTACTTGGAAAAAAGTTGAAATAACTGAAATAAAATATTGTTTAGGTCATTTTCATTTAGTTTGACTACTACAATAGACTAACTAAAACTAAAAAAATAAAAAGGAATAAAACTATATAGACATACTTAAACAACCCAAACTAATACAATGACAAAAACACACATTAAAATAGCTAAACTTTCAAACTAAATGAAAATGGAAAAAAATACCAATTATGATAATAAACTCAATGCATGCATAAAAAACATAAGGCGCACACACACACACACACTCTATATATATATATATATATACACACATACATACATATATATATATATATATATATATATATATATGTATATGCATATGTATATATATATAGAGATAGATAGAGAGATCGAGAGAGAGATGTATTTTTCACATTTTAATGTTTATATAATAGCACAATTATTTTTATTTTTAATATATTTATTATTAATATTATTAGTATAATTATCATCATCATTGTTGTTGTTGTAATAATAATATTTATATACTGTAAAAATGAGTGTCATGCGGATAATATGATATATAGATTATCATTATAACCAAACTCGTTACATGTACATTTTTCTATTTAATTACATACTTTGTTATATTATTGTTATCACCACAATTATACTGTAAAAATGCATATGTCGTACAGATTATAATTAATTTGTTGAACTTAAACGCCAGTTCACTTGCACAGGGTTGGGCTTTACTGATTGAGATATTACCATCATGATGCACAAAACTTCAGAGCGGATTTTGCGTTCTACACATTTGATTGCAAAGGTAATTAACGCGTTTGCCTAAACTAATAAGCATGTGACCTCCAATGCACGCTGCTATTTACACTGAGTCACACGGGGCGTGTGCAACCTTTTTCGGAAAGGAAATTATGAAACCGCGCAATACGTACCTTTCTGAAGATGTCAGTTTGTAAATGAGGGATGAATTCACATGAGCTCTGGATTCACAGTGATTCGCGTCCGTCTCAGCTCGAGTCTTGCGTGCAATAGCTGCTAAACAGAGTCAGCTGACGGCTCGTTACTCATTGGAAGGAGGGTTCGCTCGGAGAGTTTTCATTGGTGGAAAGACCGTTATTCCCGCCCACTCAGGAGCGCGGGCAGTTGATTGGATGATACTTGCGCCAGTCACCCCTCCCGTCGGAGTTGCTGGAACTAATGGTGATCAGAAGATTTAAAGGGAATAAACATTAGAGGATCACATTCAGTGTCACTTTTAAAAGCGTTTGTTTTTTCTGTATCTGCTAAAAACATTCGGCTAATTAAGGCCTAGTTGTTTCTGCGATAAACACCTCAATTATATAATTGTCTTATTAACAATGTACTAAATATATACAATGATAGATAACTACAAAGTTGAGTCAATTACAAAAATGTTTTATCATACTGATGTTTTTGAAACCAAATTATTTGGAAAATTAAGAAATAGGCCTAACTGTATAATAGCCTACTTTCACATAAATATGCTGATTTTATATTTTAAAAATGCATTTCATTCTTCAATTGCATTATTATTGTGTCGTGTTGAAATGTCAGGTCGGGGCAAGTTGTCACGTGCGTTTCAGATGTTAGAAACGCTTACAATTTATTAATTGCAATATCTGTTGGACAAAATGATTTGAGCATAAACGAGAAGCTTCGTTAAAATCCCTGTTAATGAATAATTTAAGACAACAAACAGGCTGTTTATATCATAAGTTTAGCCTACTGACGTTACAGCGCCACCCAGTGACAAGAGTCGATATGGAGCCTTCTCACAATTTACATTTTTATATTATAAATAATTAAAATGTACATGTATAACATTATATTGCACTGCTATTAAACTACAAAAAAAAATACTAGTAAACACTGCTGGCATGGGAGTTTCACAGGGAGTTTAATCGTGTCCGTAAACAGTTTTTCAATCTTCTGACTACAATTTCAGTCTAAATTTTATTTTGAGAGGAAAGCAAGGTTGACATTTGTTATGGCCTCCCAGCATGTGAACAAAATCCCTTTATTCTAAACGTTAAAATAGCATAAGCTGTCTACAATAAAAAGTAGGCAATGTATTTTCAACATACATAGCCAACTCTAAACATCAGTATCAGACTGTTATTAATAGCCAATTCTCTTTAAGTTTAAGGAAAGGTACAGTAGGCTAAAACGCATTCACGATCAGTGTTGGGAAGGTTACTTTGAAAATGTAATAGGTTAAAGATTACAAGTTACCCTATTTAAAATGCAATAAGTAGTGTAACTATTTCAGTTACTTTAAAGTAATGTAACTGATTACATTGGATTACTTTTCTACATTTCTAACAAATGTTTTCAACTGTTAATAACTTAGAAATATTTAAAGCAGGCAGGGTTAACCTTACAGTATTCAACACTCATTACTGTCAGACGTCCAAAATCCATCATTATATATTATAATAATTTAATTTTAAAGCGCAATTCCCGGGGGGTCATGTCGCCCCCCCCACTTTTTTGCTAATTTCCCCCTTCAGCTTAATGCTTTATTTTTGACTCGTCACGAAAGTTCATTCATTTGCATGTGTTTTTAGTTTTGCCAGTAAGCATTCAAAAGATTTTAAACCGTTCAGGCGCAATAAATCACGAAAGAGAACTAATTTGGTACTCGAGCGCTGTTTTCTGTAGGCGCGCGCACACAGAGAGCCGCTTCTCAGACAGCGCACCATTACAAAATAAGTTAACTTTTCATCTTACCGCACTTGAAAGGCCCAATACAATTAAAATAGTCAAAATGCCCGTTTTGGCAAATGTCCTTGTATAAGCACGGTCTATAGTTAAAATAAAAAGTTTTAAATTAACGTAAACTGAAAAAATCTGATGTGTGTATCAGATCCATACATTTGATCTGAAAGAGCAGTTTGCGGTCCGTTTCATTAATCTTAAAGACCAAAAGAAAAATCACTCCGCTCAAACCTGCTCTTCACCGAATAGCTTCATCTTTAATAAGGATTAATTTATAAATGTGGAAAAACTCGCGATAAATACTGCTCAGCATTTAACAAAATTAACAAGTCTGTCTCACGCAGGCGCAACAGGCAACGTAGGTTTCATTTTGTGTGAAAACATGAAGGAAGGAGTGCTGAAAGAAATTAAATGAAAGAATGCATGCTTTAATTCTCTGAATGCATAAGGGGGAACCAACTGTCTTCAGAAAAGTTTCGATGGCATGATTTGTTTTTTATCTTCTCTCTGTGTAATGCCTACAGAAGTGTTTATAAGCGCAACGCTGCTTTGTTTACAGCGGTTACCGGGGAAACCGCTCTATTTCTGCTGTTATAGTTATGGTTTAATTCAGCACGTCTGCCTTTTGTTTGTTTTTTGTTCAGACCAATGCGAAAATCGGATCAATTTTTTGTTGTGAATCTTAACTGGTAGATTGAAAACAAGCTCATATGTATTCTAAAAATCTCAACACTTTGGATAAAGTACAGCATATGTAGAACGGTTTACGGAGCAGATGAAATGCCTAGAATTTATGATTTGACCCTTTCTTAAAAATTAGTTAAAGACTGAAATGTGAGGTTTACCATTTCATAAAACTTTTGTCAAATCTTTATTTGAACATATAGTACATCTTATTAGATAACATGTTATGCTGTAAGTCACCCAACCAAGATTTTTTTGTTTGTTTAAAATCCAGCCATCATTTTTAATATTACTATTTTAGTGTTTATGCAAACAAAAATTGCATAGTGCTTCTAATTTTATTTGTTGTTTTTCGACAAAACTCATGATTTTGTGTGTATGAGCACTTTTTTAACATTTCCAACACATTTTAACAATACTGTAATATTGTTAACGATGATCATGGTCATTTATTTATTACCGTTTACTCTTCTTTATATAACAATTTATTAAAATGCAAGGTTACATGCATCAAAAACAACAGATTTCTTTCTTTTTCCTTAAATTGTTAATAATAATTTCCTGAAAATATTATGTTCTTTGTGTCGTTTTAATTTTGATAATCCATTGCATATTAAAACGGTTCTAAAACTGATCATTACCCTACACTCGTGGTTGTGGTCTCCCCCACCAGTCAGATCAGAATTGCGCCCCTGTGAGCCACCACAGAACCAGACTTTAGCAGCTCTTTTTACTTTGAGAGGTTAAATACAGATTTAAAATCATAAAGTTTAATTTGAAATCAAGTCTTGGCATAGCTATGACAAGAAACACTGGCATCTAACAATCCTTTGGGAAAAAAAATAAATAAAAAAAAAAAAAAAAAAAAGAGAATAAAAAAAAAAAAAAAAAAAAAAAAAAAAAAAAAAGCACATACACAAACCCAAATATGAAATAAATCAGTTATCGAATAAGCATGTGTCCTATTCTCGGTGTAATAAACTCCTGAGACATTAGCGTCTCATTTTAGAGCGGTCACTGCAATTTATGAAGGAAATCAATTAAAGCTGTATGTGGGTGTGTGAAAAATTCAGATGTAACCCCCTTTGTAATAGTTAACATTTTCATAAATAACCAATTTAATTACACATTTTATTCTCAGTAACTGATTGCACTTACATTTCGTAATTAAATTAGGCCCATGTAATCCAGTTACATGTAACTAGTTACTCGAACACGGTTCACGATACCATGCACCCCCCCAAAAAAAAAAAAAAAAAAAAAAAAAAAAAAACAAGCCTTCCGTTGTTCTCTTGGACAAATTAGTTTGGCTGCTTATTAGGCTATACAGTCATGGCCAAACGTTTTGGCAGGGACATAAATTTTGTGTTTTGCAAAGTTTGCCACTTCAGTATTTGTAGATTATTTTTCCACGTTTCTATGGTGTACTGAAAAACAATGATAAGCATATCATAAGTTTTAAAGGCTTTTATTGGCAAAAAATATATAATGAGTCAATATTTACAGTGTTGACCCTTGTTCTTCATAACCTCTGCAAGTGGCTCTGACATGCTGGATATTAGCTTCTGGGCCAAATCCTGACTGATGATGATCCATTCTTGCCTTCTTAGTTCTCAGAGTTGATCACAATTTGTGGGCTTCTGCTTGTCCGCTTACCGTTTGAGGACTGATGCTGCGTTCAAGTCCTCCTGGGACGTTCGTACTTACGAGTTGACAAGTCGTAATTACGACGTCAGGGGCGTTCGAGTCAGTTTAGTCGGCACAAGATGGCGGTGTACCTTTTAATAAATTACAAGAAAATACAACAGGGTCTGTTAACTCTGCTTATAGAAAATGAAGAGCAAAGAATTCGCATCAGGTGTGTTTTGCATTTTTTATATTTTTTTTAGACCGGGATCCCAGTATAACTGATTTTCAGCATCAACAAACGCTAAAATACAGAGATTAAAAAAAAAAGCTGTTAGCTAAATGCAACATGGCAAATCAAAGGATTTTTCACCTATAGGTGCAAAAATAGCATTTTTTTTTTACTTGGATTTCATTAACTAGCTGCGTAACAGCTTTGTGGCATGGTGCTCCATCATGCTGGAAAATGCACGGATAATCACCAAATTGCTTGTGGATCGTTGGAAGAAGTCACGCTTGCAGGACGTTTTGATACCATTCTTTATTCATGGCAGTGTTTTTGGGCAGAATTATGAGAGAGCCCACTCCCTTGGTTGAAAAGCAACCCCGCACATCGATGGTCTCAGGATGCTTCACTGTTGGCACAACACAGGACTCATTGAAGCGTTCACCTTTTATTCCTTTTCTTCTCCAAACAATCGATTTTCCAGATGTCCCGACTCCCAAACAGTCAGAAGGGAGCTTCATCAGAGAAAGTAACTTTGCACCAGTCTTCTGCTGTCCAATCCTTGTACTTCCTGCAGAATTCCAGTCTGTCCTTGAGGTTTTTCTTGGAGAGAAGCAATTTCCATTTTTACCAATTTCCTTGCATGCGAGGCCATTTTGATGCAAAGCGATGATGGCTGCTCGTATTTCTTTGGAGAAGAATTGCTAACAAGGATTGCTATCTTCCCTCCTTTTATAGCAATCAGTCTGCTCTTACAATCTAATTAGTATGATCGTGATTAACCTGACTAGTACTCATTCACACTTTCACATGTGTTGCTGATGATTAGTCAGTTCGTGTTAGCTGGTCATTTTGTGTCAGGATCAAAAAACAGTAAAATTACTATTTATTTTTTTTGTGAAAAGTTTATTTTTTTGGCCAATGAAGCTTTTAGCAATTATTTAAAATGCATCTGATCACTCTACACGATAATCTAGAAACAATGTGAATGAACACCACAACAGCTTAAGC